AGGACGGTCACGTTTCGGTCAACGTAATAATAATACTATTCATTACCGGAAAACTTAAAACTAGCCGAACTGTGATCTCTTTTCTCTTCCTCTCTGCATTTTTCTTCGTCTTCCTCATTCTCAAATCCGTTAAATCTCTCCACCTGCGTTAGGGCTTTCAAAAAAATCGAGAGGCATGGGAAACGGAAACTCAAGGGAAGCGAAGGAATCGCGACGGTCAAGGCTGCTGCAGAAGCTACAGAGGTTTCGCAGCCACCGTCATCTACGTAGCCGTTGCTCACGAAACGCGGCCGGGATTGCGAATCAGAGAGCTGTGACCGCCGAGGATTTCTCCGGCATTGCGCTTCTCACTCTCATTGGCGTACGATTCGTTCGTCTTATAGGATTTGAATTTTTTTTGTGCGTGTGTATGTATTTCTCGTTACAGTGCTTAGTGAATGTGATTGGTTTTAGTTCTCTGTTTCCGTCTTAATTTTCGTTAGGCGGATATGAAGTTTAAGGACAAGTGGCTCGCTTGTGTTTCTTTCGGAGAACAAACGTTCAGAACAGAAGTCTCAGATACGTAAGTCCAACACGCAAACATGGTACTCGAATCTGTGGCTGTTTTAGACTTATTGATAACTTTTTCTTTCTCTGTTTCTGCTGATTTTTTATTTTTCAGTACGGAGAAACCAATTTGGAACTCTGTAAGTGGATCGTAACCATGTCTGACTCTGAGCGTCTTTCGAATACTTTTTTGGCTCTAATCAAAAAGGTTAGTGTTTCTCTGTATATAGGAAAAGAAGCTTCTCTTGGAGAAAAACGGACCAAGTCTCGCTAGGGTCTCTGTATTCGAGGTTTCTATTTTCCAAATTCTGAGTTTTTTTTTTCTTCACGATATTGCTTCTTTGATTAGTAGTTAAGTTTAAAAAGGATCATCCTTTTCTTGTTGCAGACCAATAGGCTGTCGAGGAACAAGATCGTCGGCTATTGCGAGCTTGATATCTTCGATTTTGTAGTGCAGGTCAGCAGTTAAAATTTTGTTATTTTTATTTGCTTTCTTGCTTTATATGCTTTCTTGGATGTGATACAGGAACCTGAGTCGGTTCGTAAGTCATTTGACTTGCTAGATCCTGCATCATCCAAAGTTGTCGGCAGCATTTTCCTTTCATGCGCTATTGAGGTACACTGTAAAGTAAACAAAATTGAGAAAAAGACAGGAACAATGTTGTTGTCTGATATTTAAATACTTAATAATTGTAGGATCCTGTTGAAACCGAGAAGCGGTTTGCAAAGCGGATCTTGTCCGTTGTGGTACATGCTTTTACTTAAAATCTTTCATTCTTGACAATAAATCTTTTATTTCTCAACTATTTTCTTGCAGCATCTCTTGAACAAATTTCTCAATAAAACAATTTGATAGTTGGAGTTCTTTGACAAAGTGCAGGACTACAATGAAGATGGACAACTCTCGTTTAAAGAATTCTCCGATCTAATACGTGCATTCGGAAATCTAGCGGCTTCTAAAAAGGTTCGGCATTAAGCATCTTTGTCACTTACGTCATTAGTGGGTGCATGAGTTTTTCTCTCTTATTTAGTCTTTGAAAGTCTCTTAAGTATAATAAAGCTGTGGTGCTGAGCAGATGCATTTCGGTTGAAGCTGGACTTTGATGTGTTTTCACTGACTTATTATTAAACAGAAGGAGGAGTTGTTCAGGGCTGCTGACCTTAATGGTGACGGTGTGGTGACTATTGATGAGTTAGCTGCGCTTCTTGCTCATCAGCAAGAAAAGTAATGATGACCAATGTGATTTCACTTCATAAGTGTTTTCTTAACAAAGTCAGTTTCTTTAATCTTGAATGCTGTCGCTAATGCAGGGAGCCAATTATAAATAACTGTCCGGTGTGTGGTGAGGCTCTTCAAATCTCTGACAAGCTCAACGCCATGATACATATGACTCTCTGTTTCGACGAAGGAACCGGTAATCAAGTGATGACCGGAGGTTTTCTGACTGATAGACAAGCTTCATACGGGTGAGAATTATCTTCTCTTTCTAAGCTTCAAAAATTTAATAGTTTTCCTCAACACTTCATATTTTAAACGTTTTTGTTCAGATGGATGTTTAAGCTTAGTGAGTGGACACACTTATCAACTTATGACGTTGGTTTGAATACTGGTTCAAGTGCTTCACATATTGTGGTATTCTTTTTCTTTCTGCCCTTTTGTTTTTCATATGAGCATTTGAACAAATGTATTTCCACTTTAGTAACTATTTTTCTTGGTTTTTTTGCTTTCTGCTTTAGGTTATTGACCGGAAGACTAAGAGGCTAGTGGAAGAGTTAATCGACTCAAAGATTGTTCTGTCCATGAGAGCTATTTACCAGTCTAAAATTGGACTTAGACTTATGGATCAAGGTAAGCTAATTAGGGCCATTTTTTTAGCATAAGTGATAAACTATTGTATTGTCTCTACACCTTTTCCTTGTGCCTGAAAGCCTCATGACTTTGCATGCTTTGACTGATCTTCTTGATCCAGGGGCAAAGGAGATTCTGCAGAGGCTTTCTGAGAAGCAGGGGAAGAAAATGAGCTCAGTTGAATCCGCCCAAAAAATTCCTAGCTTTCTCGAGTTCTTTAAGGCATGTAAAGTCACTACTATTCTATTAAAGCTATAATGTTTTTGCTTGGTTTCTCAGTTTGGAATTGCGATTTTTGTCTGTTTCAGGATCAAATAAACATGGCTGAAGTCAGGTATCCTCTGCAGCACTTTAAGGTATGCAAGTGTCAACTCCTTAATTACACTCACATTTATGAGTTCCTATGAAAGCCATATTTGCAAGTACCTAAGTATATAATTAGTGTTTTAAAATATGGGCCTGGTGGTACCAGCGTTATATGCTCTTGATGGATTGAACTAATTGTGGACTTGTGTACAATTTTATTAACCTGAAGAATGTTTGTTTTACTTTGCAGACGTTCAATGAATTTTTCATCAGGGAGTTGAAACCTGGAGCGAGACCAATCGCTTACATGAATCGTGATGATGTTGCTGTATCTGCTGCTGATTGTCGATTAATGGCATTCCAGTCTGTGGAAGATAGCACTCGGTTCTGGATCAAGGTATAATGGTTTCTAGGTCAGCTTATAACTAATATGTTAATTATTATTAAGCAAGATTAGAGAACCCTTTAAGACAAATGATGTAACTTATATGTTTGCAAAGGGACGGAAGTTTTCAATTAGAGGCCTCCTCGGGAAGAATGTGAATCCAAATGCTTTTCTTGATGGATCTTTGGTGATATTCCGACTAGCACCACAGGTGATACATAGGCTAAAAACACTACGCAGTAGTTGCTTGTTCTCCGTTACACTAAAACGTTTCTTGGCAAATGTTACAGGACTATCATCGCTTTCATGTCCCTGTCTCTGGAGTCATTGAAAAGTTTATGGATGTTTCTGGAAGCTTATATACGGTAATGCGGTTATGCATCTGTTTCCATCATCTAATCTCTATTACGCTTAGTTTATGAGAATCACTTTTGATTTTCTAATTTTGTTCGTTTACATATCCTTGTCAGGTTAATCCGATAGCGGTCAACAGCAAGTACTGTAATGTATTCACTGAGAATAAACGAACCGTGGCAATTTTATCAACAGCAGAGTTTGGAAAGGTTCGTTCAAAAAGCTTTTTCTATCTTGAAATGTGGCTTAGAAATTACTAATGATTGAACATGTGGGGGTAACGTTAGATTCTGAAGCTGTAACGAGTTAATAAATTTTTAGAAAGCCATTAATTAGCATACACAAACATAACTACAAAGGTCAAACTAATAAGAAACCTGTAACAGGTTGCTTTCGTTGCAATCGGTGCAACAATGGTTGGTAGCATCAATTTTGTCAGAAAGGAAGGGGACCATTTGAAGAAAGGCGACGAAGTAAGCAGTTTTCGACTTTTCTCAAGAAACAACGCTTTGAAAGAAAATATCTTCTAACCTCAATGATCTTTAACTTGCAGCTTGGTTATTTTTCTTTTGGTGGAAGCACCGTTATATGCGTCTTCGAAAAGGTTAGTCGTCGTATGACATAATCTTAACAACACTTTAATAAATCATACATTCACTATATTGTTTTTTATTTATTATATGTTTGCATTAACCTTTGCTTTTACACTTATAACATTATGCAGGACTCGATTCGGATCGATGAGGATCTCTTGGCTAACAGTGGTAGGTCCTTAGAGACATTAGTTAGTGTCGGAATGCAACTAGGTGTCTCCACAAGGACTTTGGCTGGTTCTACATTCTCCTGAAAATTTTTGCCCCTTGAACTAAAAAGATCATTTGTTTTTTGCACTCTGTATATACAGTATACAAATCTCTGTATATATAAAAAAAAAACAATGTCTCCTCAATATTATTCCTTATGCAAAAACAAAAATAAACTTTTATTTCTTTTGATCCCTCACTCTCTCTCCCTCTCAACTAAAATCTCCTTCCTAATCCTTATTTAAGGAAGAAAAAAAACTACATTATGAACGAAAGGGACCATAAATTAAGGAACAAAAATGAGGGTGGCAAAATCTTAACGAAAAAAAGAAGAAGAAAGAAAAGATAAATACAAAACTAAAAAGGAATGAAAAAGATAAAAGGACTGAATCTTGGCTCGTTTTTAGCTGTTATCTTTGTCCACTTGGAGTGCTCGCATTGGGCCTTCTCACGAATCGTCCCTGTTCACAATCCCATCACCAACCACAAAAAAAAAAAGGAAACATTAATATTAGGTTCTTGTCCTAATCATAAATCCAATGTGTATCCCTGTCCTCTTGACCCAATCTAACGTTGTTATTATTTATGGTAAAATTCTTCGAGTAGAGAAAAGAACAGTGACTTTAGGAAAAACATCTTTTACCCATCAGAAAAAAGATAACCATTTATTTTTCATTTCTTTATTATTATGATATATTTAAGTTTCGAACTGATTTTAAATCTTTTGGTTTGGCTTACTGGTTTGATTTCATTCGGATTATAGATGAACACAGAAAGCTTTGTTCCATCTTGGTGGATACTCTTTCTATGAAATGAAATATTCAACAACAATCCTATATATCCTATGTTAAAAACTAATCTCGTAAAACAAGATTAACACAAAATTATGATCATGGATTGGTAGTAAAACCTACATGTGTTTTTTTAACCACGGATTAAGGTGGGTGAGATACCTTCATTCGAGGACGTTGATCTGCGTTGAGTTTGCGAACTTGGTATCGAATTTTCTTGGAAAAAAGTCGAGTTCGACGTTTCTCTTTGTACCTCAATACACTTGCTTCTCGCATTCCACTGTCTCCGAACAAATCTATCTGAGCTAATCTGGCCTGCCCCAAAACCCACATATATTATTAGTTCATGGATGCATCATTTAACACATTACATTTCATTTTTTATGAGGCTTACAAGAAAATATACTACATAATGTCACCCTTTTGTTCCCCGACACTGTTCTAGTAAATTTCTTACGGCTAACATGAATTGTCAATGTTTTGTAGGCTTTATGCTAAAAGGAGTATACGACGAAAACAGATGTATCCAAAATATATTTTGAACCTCTTCATTTATCTTATACGTGAAAATTCACGTGCAATAGTCTAAAGTTCCCTCTTAAATTAATAAAAAGAAATCGATGACAAAGAAAGAAAAGAAAAGCTTTCTTATTTCCCGCAGAACTTTCTTTTGTTAATTAATTAAAAGTTGAATTATTATTTAATAACTTGAAAAATGTTTTGTTATAAAAGAGTAAAGGGAAGATCATATATCAAAGTCAAAGGATTTTTTTTATTTTATTTTTTAAATACGTTACAAAAAAAAGTTATTAAGAATTTTCCACAGATTTTAATAAACTATTGTCAGATACTATGAGAGGCTGATAGCTATTAAATGACTAACTATTGATTGATTATTTAAAACATGTAAGAACACACTCCCGTCAAGTTCCGACACGGAAATAACAGCCACGTGGCAGCATACTAGTAGTTATAACAGAATCCCGATTTATCAGTTACGAGAAATTAAATAAAAAAAATCGCCATTAATTAAAAACTAATTCAAATTTCAACGGCGAGGAATGAGTTTAGAGAAGGAAAGTGTTACATACATTGACGTCGGCTCCTGTGGCTTCCGATCCCAGAATCTCATCGGGGAACGGCGACGCTTTATCAGACCAAGCTTCTAAAACGCCGTCGTAGTCGAGCTTCAACATCGGACGGCCTGATTTCTCCTCCGTATCTTCTTTACTCGATTCTGCGCTCTTCGGTTCCGTCAGAGGCGTCGCCGCCGCCGCCACTTTCTTCTTCTTCTTCTTCTTGCTCTTCTCTCCAATCGACTTTTTAACATCCGATTTCTCTTCATCGACTGCGGCTGTTGCGATTGCGGTTGCGGTGGTTTGGATTCGCGGCGAGATCTGTTCGAAATCGACTGTGTGGATTTTCCACCTGTTTGCGTCGTCGTTTTCTCTGAGAGCGCTTCTCAATCCAAGCCCCAATGGAAAATTCCCGGCGAATCTGAATCCCTTGGAGCTTCGATTCCATGGATTCATCATCAGAATCTGCTCTAACCGGCCAATTCGGTTGCCACGATTGATTCCCGGAACCTTTGATTCGAGAATGTCTCCGGAATTTGATTCGACACTCCCCATTATACTATCGATTCCCTCTTCGATTTCTTCATCCAGGATCGACTCCGCGTCGAATTCGTCGGAAAAATCAAACCGGTTCACCTCCGATTCGTCGATTTCTCCACCCGCACCACCATTATTACTCCCTCCGGAATTCACCTCCTTCTGCTCGAAGAAGAAATCCGATTTCGATTGAATCGTCGGGTGAAACAGAAAATCTGGCTCCTCGATTGATTCGAAGGGAAGAAGCAGCTCGGAAGCTTCGTCGTTATCACTGAGAAGTGGAGATTTAACGAACCCATAGAACTGGGAACTCGAGTGAGTCTTCTTCTTAGCGTACAAGTTGTTGTTGGTGGTTGAGGAGGAAGAGAAGATGTTGGGATAAGCGGTGGAGAGAAGAGCCGCCGCTTCATTGTAAGTCTGGTTGGGCCGCTTTCGCGGCGTTCTTGGCTTTCTCGTTGAGATTGCGAGCGGCGAATTTGAGGATTCGGAGATTGTTGATGACGGCGATGTAGCTCTCGTCGTGGATGAGCTTGACGGTGGCGATTTCACTTTTTCTAACTCGAAGCTATATGCGGCGGCTCCTCCGCCGCCGCTGCTTAAGCAAGCCGACATTTCTTGCCCGAGAAAAAAGTGAGCCATTTTTCCCGATGGAGAAATCAGGAAACAATCAGCCAGATTAACTCAATTCCGATGGAGAATTCAGAAAAAAGAATCTCGGATTTGTAGCTAATGATCAAGTGAAAACACCAAAACTTTCTAATGGGAAAAACTTGAAGACAGTACGAGGAAGATTAAATCAAACTGTGTTTTAATTTTAAGATGATAAACCCTAAACCCTCTCAAGAAAACTTTTTAATCTCTTAAGAAACTACAAAATTGAAGAAATAAAAAAGAAAGGTCAAAACTTTAGGGAAAGAGGAAGAGGAAAGAAAGATTCTTACAAAATGTTCACCATTATTAGAGAAAAGAGCAGAGAAAGGAAATATAAGAAAAACCCAATCGGAATCTGAGATTTTTTTTTTGAAAACCAAAGAAATGGACCAACGAGTGGTGTTTTACAGAAAGAACCCGATTGGTTTGAAGAGAGGGAGAGAGAGATTGGAGGAGAAACAAGAGTCACGAGATATATAACAAGAGTTTGATTAGGGTTTTTGTGAAGAGCTCTCTGTAAATAAAATTGTGAAGAGAGTTTTTTTTGTTTTGTTTCTCGGGGTAATTTCACTGAGATGTGGCGAAACAGAGAGAGAGAGAGAGAGTGGTGGTGGAAGAAGAAGACGAGAGAGTGAAGGAGCATATGGTGAAGAAAGACAAGATACCTCACAATCGGCAGTTCTGGAGTGTATGGGGTCTACTGCTGGATTTTTTTTTTCTTTCGCTTTTGTATTAATTTATATATTGTTTATAAAGAGATTAAACGATATTTCTTATGGATATGGATACTCCCACAATAGAATTTTATAGGAAATTATCAAAAGTTTAAAAGGAATTTGTTCATTGGAAATGTTTAGTTTTATCCTACATGACTGTATTTGAAATAAAAGCTTACTAATTTGTTTTTAAGGAAAAGCGGAATACAGCTTATCATATTAAATTGCTACGATAAATATAAAATAAGATAACATTTCCTCAAAAAATTTAAAATTTTAATCGGCTCATGCATGAATCCCATGGTGATGTTTTTTCTTTTCTTTTCTTCATCTAGCAATTGAATACATTCTCTGTATGAGTCTCTAAAAAATAAGAAACAAAATTGCTAACAAATAAAAATAATGAATACCTATTACGAGCTGTTTGTGCTAGGTAGTTGGTAAAACTTTATGAATAATCGCCAATTCGCTCTGATTTGGTGCAAAAATTTATGAATAATCTTATTGAATCTTTGACAAATTAGGTAACTGGGTAACATTTTACTAAAATATATATATATTGAAGATTGGGTTCAATTGCTGAAGATTTTTCACCTCTTATTAGATATTGTACATGTTTGAACAAAAAAAAAAAATTAGATATCGTACATGCAGTACCAAATATTGAGTATTTGATGCGAAAATGGTAGTCTGATTTTTGGTTTAGGCTTTTCAATTTATCATATCTAGAAGTCAAATAGAATTTCGAAATTTAATTTAATCAGTTAGATATTTTCAGAGTAGATATATAATTTATAGAATTTCATAAGCAAACATAATTTTAATTGTTAATTTCTTTTTTTCCTTTTGGTTAATCTTGAACTTGATTTGTTTTCTTGTTTGATTTTTTTTTCCCATTTCATGAAACTAGATTTATCAAAATTTTATGTCATGTTCTGAAGATATATATTTCATTTGTCTATGTTTTCTGTGTTAAGTAAAGATAATAAAATGTAAATTTCATAGGATAAAGATGGAGAATATCTGAATGAATTTATTACTATTTGTTTAACAAACAATTTTTTTTTTATTATTATTTATATTTTTGTCGCTATAACTATTCATAATTAAGTAAGAGTGTTGGTATGAGTAACAAATAAAATAAAACCTATTAGAAAAAATTTAATTATTATTTCTTTAATTATTATTTTTTGGTTAAGGTTTTAATTTGTATACATATCTTTTTTTTTTTAAAAAAAAATCTCTAGTAAACAGAAAGAGGATGGTTTTATCCAGCTTAGACAGACTCTCAATTTTTTTGTTTTTGGTTCCAACTCTCAATAGTTTTTTTTTTTGGTATTTCCAACTCTCAATAGTTTTATCCGTGTGTTTAGAGACTAATAATCAATGGTTTTGTGAGGGAAAAATGTAATCCTGGTTTGGGATTATTTTCTTAAAAAATTACAAAACCCCCATCATCATCATCCCAACCTGCAAATCTTTTTGGGATCTTAAAGAGAAAACGAGAAAATGTCACCTTATCCATTGACGTGGCCTAATATCATTGGCTCTGCTAGATTTCTTCGATGATGTGGCGTTTCCTCTGTTAACTGATTGTGGTCGCCTGGTCGGAGACGTTTCACGTGTTCTGAAGAACCGACTTTACATATTTTTGGTTAAGGTTTTCCAAATGTCCTAATTTAGCATAAAGCACCCATATTACTGCGTATATCGATACTTATCTGTAGTTTGTGTCAGATTATTTTTGGATAGATACATGATAACTCCAAATTATTTTGTTCGGTTGAATAATCTTAATTCTGAAGTACGTACTGCTTATATAATATTTTGTTCACTTGAATCTTAGCTAAAAAATTTCAAATAGTTTCTGGAAGAGTAACAACAGAATATAATGGACTTAATATAATATACGTTGACATAAATAATTATAATATTTGACTTGTGTTATATAGCTACGGTAATTGGCTACATAAGTAGAAGCAAACTTACAATATAGTATTAAGAAGACCTTATAATAAAAATAATACTCTCTCCATTTCTAATAGATTAGTGTTTTAGGTTTTTCACAAATATTAATAAATAACCATTATCAGCTTTTAATAACTAATTTTTCTTTACTTTTAACTTTTTGACCAATGAAAATAATATAAAGTTCTACTTTAAAGTAAAATATATTAAATTAATTCTATAACATTAATCTCTGAAGAATAAGAAAAAAACCCAAAACATCAATTACAGGAGTATAATATACTAGTATTCAGATAATTACTACTCCCTTTTCTATTTATGTATTTTTTTTCTTCTACCCAAAGTGTGGAGAGAGAAAGTGGTGGGCTAGTGGATTGTGTATGTGAGAGAAAAAATGATTGGAACCTTTTTGGTATCATTTGAATGTAATTTGTGGCCAAAGCTAAACCTACGTTTACTTCATTACGTTCAATGACTCCTGATTAGATTTAGATTTTCTACTTTATATATATTATATTGTTTTCTTATCATGATAGGAATTACATCCATTACATATGTAGAGAGAGATATTTGGTATCCACGAGTTATCCGTATATTAACAAAGCTTCAAATTGCATCCATCCGTATATTAACAAAGCTTCAAATTGCATCCAAACATCATGTGATATACGTCTACTTAACAAAACTGTCAAAACAAAACCAATAACTTTTCTTGCAACAGTGATTATATAAATTTAAATTGTGAGTTCAATTAAAAAATTAGGGGGAAAACGGGTCTATAAAAATGAAACTGAAATCATCCAGGCGTTATGAACTACAAAATAAAATATTATTAAAGTTAAAAAACAGTATAAACTATTTTCTAAAGACTGTTGAATATAAACACAACACAAACACAGTGAGAAAAATTATGACATTAAATAGATTATCTAAGAATAGCAAAGGCTGATCACTCTGCATGCTTCACAGTCATTTTTGACATCGTATTACGAACATAAATTAGCACTTAGATACTTCTACAGTAGAATCATATAGGCGATAATTTACAACTAAATATTCAGAAAGAGTTTGTGTGAGATAAAGTGATTGAGTTTTAATAAAAAATTAACTTGTTTACTTAAAGACTTGTGAGTTAGTACTGTATCCACTGAAAAATCTTTGCTCGAGTATAAATAATTAATTAGCGGCCCATCAGTGTACTTCGGATGCTCCTCTTTTACTTATACAAATTTTCTCTCAGGATTCATCTATTGGCACCCATGATGAGTCTTGAGGTTAAAGGTTTTTGAGGGAAAAGGGTTACAAGATTCAATATTGTATAGTCGGTACGTAATTTGATACGTTCTCGGTTTCGTCCCAATTTCTTGATATCTTAGTGGGACTACTAAATATCTAGATGAATAAAACGTACATTGACTAGGATAAATTATCTTGTTCCAAAATATGAAAAAAAAAAAAATTTATACCATAATTATACTCAAATTTGTCATTCATCATATATAGAATTATGGTTTACTGCAGGATCAGCAGTAGTGCAGTACTATTCCGGTAATGATACATATATAGTTCTTTTGGATTTGCGCTTATATGTTTTTCATTCTTTAATTCTTTTGTACTAATGTTCATCATAGACCTATCTTTAAATAAACGTGATATTGTTTCAGACTGATTTCAGTTCAATTAGGTTCATATGCGTACTTCTTAGTTATTAGAAAAGCTTTTAAGAATTAAGAGAAAAACAAATAGGCCAGAAACAGAACAAAAAAGACGAATTTAAATTTGCTTTAAGAATATTCGATTGAACAAAATAATTCTTAAAGAAAATTGAAATGTAGAGAAGTTTTCTTATCTAAAGAAGGTGTACTGGAGAGAATTTGAACCTCAAGAAAAAAAAAAAACAGGATAAACCTTGTTATGGCACTGCTCCAAAGTAAGTTTTGTTCTTATGTTACATTCTTTTCTTATGACAACATGTGACATCTATTCCCTTCTTTTTATTTTTACTAATTCTCTGCCCTTTCCATGAAAGTTTTGGGAGAACACATTAGGAATTTTACTTTTTACAGCATGTGTAATCGAAGTTAATTGTTTATAGCCGATAGAAATTAAACCCAAATTTTAAGGACATTAGAAATAGATTTTTTGATTAATGATTTGGTTATATAGAACTACGTATCCGATCCCCTTGCTCGTAAAAAGTAAGTTGAGACGTATTTGAGTTTGTGATTTATGTGGAGACGTGATTAACACGACGGTCGTAAGAAACATAGATGAAAAAAAACTGACCTTTACCTGTTAGGCTGTTTCACACTCTCACTAAAACAAATTATTGAAATAAAAAAAGAAAATAATATTAAAGTTTTCTTCTTAACAGTCGTTTTCAATGTATAATTCACATCCTGGTTACATGATCCAGATGTAATTAGAAAGGATGCGGATATGTTGTAGCCCTAAAAAGTCATTATTCTTAGATAATTTTAGTGCCCTAGAAATTCAAAATCATTTTGTAATTGGAAACTTATATCTTGTGGGGAGCTTGTTTACAAATATCTTACCATGTGGTTATTCTGGCCACATTTAATGGGTCTTAGAAAAATTTGGCCTTACACTGTAAGTTAACATAAACCACACGATAAAGAAAATATACGATGATAAAATAATTGTTGTAGAAGAAACATATCACAAATTATAACCATGAACTCATCTGGATATCATAATCTGCAAAAATACCTCATGAGACATACTATCTCAATATCTCTGAAGTGTATTATACATTATTAATAATTCTCGTGGTATGCTGATTCTAAAATCGAGTGAGTCATGGTTTGTGTATGAAGCATAGCGACTTAGAGAGGCTAAAATCTCAAAACATGAATACAGTGGATCTTTATGTACAACAAATCGTTTCTGACATTGTGAGTTAGAATCATATGTACATATAGACATGCTAGAAGTTTGTTTTATACTTCTATTATGTGTGTATGTATTTAATATTCATTAAGTTGAGAAATTTAAAAATCAAGTAGAATGAAAACAAAATTATAGGATAAGAAAATTCCAAGTGAAAGGTGTAAATGTGAATTGGGGCTCAAGAGTAATAATCCAAATATAGTTACAAAGAACAAGTGAAGTATTCCTTCTCTTACATATTGGAAGGGGACCACGAAATTTCGAATTGTTTGTTTTTTGAATCAGCATGGGTAATAATGCAATGGCATAACTCTTTCATCTTTTGTCTTCCATACTTATGATAAAAAAAAAACGTTGTAACCTTTAGGATCCAAAGAGAAGGTAAACAAACAAACAAAAATAACTAACTATATAAATCGAGACAATTCGAAAGATAAATGCTAGATTGAAGTAATAACTCAATGGCTACAACAACTGTCTTTTAAGTTAGTCACAGAAATAAACAAATTGCTGAAAAACAGAGAGTTTAGTAAAATCGGTAGCTTTTCTTAAAATGGGCTTTAGAGTTTAGAGTGGGCTTACATATTTTAATGTTGTATTAGAGATGTTACAATTTTGTTTGTTGACTTTTTTATCCTAAAGATGAACGATGTTATTCTTTTGTCCAATACTCTTCCCTTGGATCCTTTAAAGGTTTAAAGCTTATCATCATAAGCGAAGGAAAGGCAAAGGTTAAAGAGTTATGCGATTGCATGATTCTCCATACTGATTCCAAAAAAAAAAAACAAAAAATGAAATTAGGAAAGACATAACTATATTGGTCCCCTCCAAAATGTAAGAGTTCAAAGTTGATTTTCTTATCGTAAATTTTCGATGTTTCGTTTTTCCTGTTGGAAATTTTACATTCGGTTACGAAATCACGTGTTGGTGGGCCGAATTGTAGGCCGTAGCCCATTCGACTAATTTTTTCCAATTGGTTCATGTTTCGATTAAAAAGAACACAAAAAGAAAAAATAGCAACTGAAAATAAAACTGGTCGTAGGTACTCGTTATCCTTTTGCGTTTCTTACCGTTATCTCAGCTCACAAACTAAAAGCCACTGGTTTTGCCAGAGATAGCTTTTTGATTTGTCGGAAGAATCAAGAAAGATGCCCACTTTGAATCTCTTTACAAATATACCAGTCGACACCGTCACATGCTCCGACATCCTCAAGGACGCTACTAAAGCCGTCGCTAAGATCATCGGCAAACCTGAATCCGTAAAGAAACTCTAATCCTCTGTTTCCGCAATTTCTACCCGACTTTATGAACCGATAAATTCTTTGTTTTTTGGCTCGTGTTTTGTGTTATATTAAAGCAAATTTTCTGTTTTTGATTAAGTTTGTGCTGCGGCTGGTATATGCAGACGTAGTGTTTGATGAAATTCCCGTGAGAATTGCAAAGTCTGAGAAACCCATTTGAATTATCATTTGATGAAACCTTTTTAGAAGAAACCTCATTGCGATGGTGTGTCGTTGACATTATCACCAGAGAATTCTCAAGCCCGTGTTGTTAGTCTTATAACTTGTGAGCTACGTTTGATCATCTTCTCGCGTGCTATATCACAAAAACAGTGTGTTTATCTTCTTTGTTTTGCTTTCAGTATGTGATGATACTGCTTAACAGCGGAGTGCCGATTGCATTTGCCGGTACGGAGGAACCAGCTGCGTATGGAGAGCTGATATCTATTGGGGGATTAGGAGCTGGCGTTAACGGGAAGCTTAGCGAGACGATCGCTGAGATTCTCCAAGTCAAGCTCTCTATTGATAGCTCCCGCTTTTATATCAAGTTCTACGATTCCCCTGTAAGTCCCATCTTCGACTTAAAAACCTCTGCATAAGAACGATGTTGTTACCTTACTCGCATAAGATGATGATATCATTTTATATTGTTAAAGCTAGAATGATTTGAATGTCAAAGAGATATCTTATAACTTGAATTTTTGTTCCAGCGACCCTTCTTCGGATACAATGGATCAACTTTCTGAAACACGGGTTTCAAACGGTGACGAAGAGGCGATTTCAACCTTGTAATTGAAATTAGGATTAAAAGTATTTTGCGTCTTCATTTCAAAAAGTTGTAGATCCTTGAGCTTAATTTATAAATTTTAACCTCCTTTTAAAGCTAATACTTGGTGTTTATATTGCTTTTTGGGATTAGTTCCCTCATCTACTAACACAGCAATTGTAGCCCAAGAAGAATAACAACTGTAGTTGAGTTTCATACACAATCATTTGATCGAAGGCTTTTGAAAATGTTATGATTTTCCAAAAACCATTTTGTCTTACATATTTTTGGACTAAATTGATCGATACATTAAAGTTTCAAGGCAAATGTGTAATTCCGAATAGATAGTTACTGGGAGAGAAGAGTCGCTGTCAATAAACCAAAGTTCGTTCTTTACCGGCCGTGCGACTTTACAAACGCGACTTGCTTCTCCGGCAAGCTATTCGCGTCGCTGCTTAGTGTCTCTCCGACGGGAATCAATCCATTTTTGATCTAATTGACTATTCATTTCATAAGGATTCACAAAACTCCGGTGAAGGAAGATGACGGAGGAGATCAAATTCAGTGTTCTAGTGTCTCTCTTCAACTGGATTCAGAAGAGCAAAACCTCTTCTCAGAAACGCTCCAAGTTCCGAAAGTTTCTCGACACCTACTGTAAACCCTCCGATTACTTCGTCGCCGTCCGCCTCATCATACCGTCGCTTGACCGAGAACGCGGTAGCTACGGGCTCAAGGAGTCGGTTCTCGCCACGTGTCTCATCGACGCCCTCGGAATCTCTCGCGACGCTCCTGACGCCGTTCGCCTACTCAATTGGCGTAAAGGCGGAACCGCTAAAGCTGGGGCTAACGCCGGCAACTTTTCGCTAATCGCCGCTGAGGTCAGGATTTTGATTTCATTGACTTTCTGGGTTTTTTGGATTCGATTTATTTTTTGAACGTGTTTGTGGGGAAAGCAGGTATTGCAACAAAGGCAAGGAATGTCATCGGGTGGGTTGAGTATTAAGGAACTGAATGATTTGCTTGATCGTCTAGCTTCGAGTGAGAACAGGTGCTTTCTCTGCTCCCTACACTTTCATCTATAGTTAATCAATTGTTTCCATTAATGCTATATTTGCTATCGCATCACAGAGCGGAGAAAACTTCTGTTCTTTCAACTCTGATTCAGAAGACGAATGCGCAGGAAATGAAGTGGGTGATTAGGATCATTCTTAAAGGCAATAACTTTTTTTCATGCTTCTTCACATGAATGTCTCCGTCCCGTTTCTTTCAATCTTGTTTTGTTATTGAGATCAATGAGAAGAATCTGGATTTGTTGTTGGTTGCTTTTTTACAGATTTGAAATTGGGGATGAGCGAGAAGAGCATATTCCAGGAGTTCCATCCAGATGCTGAGGACTTGTTTAATGTCACGTGTGACTTGAAACTGGTCTGTGAAAAGCTGAGGGATCGGCATCAACGGCACAAGCGTCAGGTTTTTTGTTATGAGAATTACTTGAATGATAGCCTACTGTACATTTCTTTGAGAGACAGTTGCCCTATAGAGGTTATCTCAAAATGATAAACATATAAATGAGTGTGAACACAGTCCTTTTTACAGTCTATGATTGTTGTGATCCCACTGGGTACTATTCATTTTTTTCCATGCTCGCCTCATGTATCTGACTGCTACAGTATTAAATTAGTGTATTGACGTTCTCTTGACTGGTGGTGACTTGGTTGTTTGTTACTTTGTAGGATATAGAGGTTGGAAAAGCCGTACGGCCCCAGTTAGCTATGCGCATCGGTGATGTAAATGCTGCTTGGAAGAAGGTAAATTCTATCTACTCTATTGTCACCTTACTCATCCGCTGCGCAATATTTTTTTTCTTTTTAGTAACGTCATTGTATGGGTGTTTTGCATTTTTTTAACTAATGCGTGTATCTCCTCTACATAGCTCCATGGGAAAGATGTAGTTGCTGAATGCAAATTTGATGGGGATCGCATACAAATACACAAAAATGGGACTGGCATACATTACTTCTCTAGGTGAGCCACATCGCTTTTATCTGCCCTGCTATAAATGTTTTGATACACACCTTATCTGCATATGGCTTTATGACTATTTTGTGACTTGCTGTCCGGAAGGCAGTTGTCTGGTCTACTATTGTCGTTGTTTCAAGTTCTGTACCAGTCTCTTCGTATTTGATTTTTTTACTGATGCTGCAGGAACTTCCTTGACCATTCTGAATATGCACATGCCATGTCGGATCTTATTGTACAAAATATATTGGCTGACAAGTAAGATTCTAGTTTCTGCTTCTTTAGGTTATGGAGGGTTTTAAAAGTTCGGTATATTGACATACACGATCTTTCAATTTCGTTTTCTTGCCACTTAGGTGTATCCTTGATGGTGAAATGTTGGTTTGGGATACATCTCTGAATCGGTTTGCTGAGTTTGGTTCGAATCAAGAAATAGGTGTGGCGTCTTATCAATATCCTTATGCTAAAAAGCTTAGTCTTGCTTGCAGTCAATTTGATCCTTCTTGTATTCTTTTTCACAGCCAAGGCAGCAAGGGAGGGTCTTGACAGCCATAAACAGGTTAATATGTGAAGTTCCACTTGTCTGCTTTATGTTGCAACTCTTTTAGGATACTTATTAACTCTAATACTCTCTTATTTGCCAATGCAGTTATGTTGTATCCTTACGAGGAGAAGTTAGTGCCCACACTCCAGAATCTCACAGCGGAACCATTTTAGAGATATTATTTTCCTTGACCTTGTACTAGATGTTGCCTTTGATGTTCTTTATGTTGGAGATACTAGTGTTATCCACCAGAGTTTAAAAGAACGACATGAGCTCCTGAGGAAAGTGGTTAAGCCTTTAAAAGGTCGGCTTGAAGTTTTGGTGCCTGAAGGTGGTCTCAATGTTCATCGCCCTTCAGGTGAGGACTACTAAGATTCTATAATTATGATGGACTTAACATCTCTCGCATCATTTTTGGTTTCTTTAATTTTTCACACAATTATTTAATTTCGTCTGGTACCTCCATCACGCATTCACAACTCGATATGTTTCGCAGGGGAACCAAGTTGGTCTATTGTGGCTCATTCTGCAGCTGATGTTGAGCGATTTTTTAAAGAAACAGTTGAAAACAGGTTTATTCTTTGTTATTCGAACTCCAGCTAGAGTTTCTCTCTCCAATATCCATGAATTGTGCAAAACTTTTGGATGGTTCCTTCTTGGCCGCATGTGAACAGTGATTCTTGGTTGTCAGATTCTACGCTCTAGTATAACGACTTTCATACGATTTTCTTCACAGATGTGTGTTCCAGCATACTGATCCAGATTCTTCTTTGCTCTCAGAGATGAAGGAGTTCTGCTTAAAGACCTGGGATCGAAATGGGAACCTGGAGATCGTAGTGGCAAGTGGATGAAGCTGAAGCCTGAATATATTCGGGCTGGTTCTGATCTAGATGTTCTTATAATAGGTATACACTCGATATGTGGTGCTCAACAGTGGTGTTCTTTTCCCATTTGGATCTTATCGAGGATTTGTTACATCTTTAACAGGAGGATACTATGGCTCTGGGCGTCGTGGAGGGGAGGTAGCACAGTTTCTTGTTGCCTTGGCTGATCGGGCTGAGGCAAATGTGTATCCCAGGCGGTAAGAATTTCTATGGTATCACCTTTTCTCATATAAGATGAAATCAGATTATCAATAGAAACTGCAGGACTACTAAAACAGTCTTAAGAGAACATGGGCCATGAAGACTTTGGAGCTTTTCATGTTACCAGAATTGTTAGTTGTTTGCCAAGACATTTTAGGTCTAATTATCAATGATGAGCTATTCTCTATCTGCAGATTTATGTCCTTTTGTAGAGTTGGCACTGGACTTTCTGATGACGAGCTTGACACTGTTGTAAGCAAACTAAAGCCTTATTTCAGGTTAGAGACGGAATCGTATCTGGCTTTCTCATCTCATTTAAACAAATATATATAGAACGATAAGAAAAACTGTCCACTATAAGATATGGCTCACAAGAAACTAGAAGGTTTTTTTCACAGTTGAGAAGACAGCCACTTTCTATAATAGTTATCAAATGTTTTGTGTTTCAGAAAAAATGAACACCCAAAGAAGGCTCCACCAAGCTTTTATCAGGTCACAAATCACTCAAAGGAGAGACCGGATGTTTGGATTGAAAACCCGGAGAAGTTAGTTTTCTGTCAATTATCTCCTTTTCCTTGACCGAAGCAGAAGAATCAGGGATCACTGATACTATTCTGTGCTCATATCTTGTTTTCTTCCCTTTTTGCAGATCAGTAATACTTTCCATCACTAGTGATATCAGAACAATAAGGTCTGAGGTATGTCCTTAAGATGTGAGAAACTGAGAATGCGAAGCTTCGTTAGCTACCTCTAATATATTTTATTTCATTCAGTATCAGGAATGAGAAACTGTGTTGCCTGATACCGAATAAGTCTGTGTTTATAATGCATATGCTGTGTTGCATGTAAAATTCTTTTCAGGTGTTTGTTGCACCTTACAGCCTGAGGTTTCCTCGTATTGATAAAGTAAGATACGACAAGCCTTGGCATGAATGTCTTGATGTGCAGGGTGAGTAAAAGAACCAAAGAAACTGTCCTAGGTTCCCATTTTTTCATGAAAGTTCAAAATAACCAATTTGCTTCCGCTTATACGTCGGAATGATGTTGACGTTGCAGATTTTGTGGAATTGGTGAACTCGAGTAACGGCACCACACAGAAACAGAAGGAATCTGAAAGCACACAGGAGCATCCGAAAGTCATAAAATCCTCCAAGAGAGGAGAGAAAAAGAGCGTCTCTCTTGTCCCTCCTCAGTTTATTCAAACTGATGTATCGGATATCAAGGGCAAGACCTCGATCTTCTCGAATATGATCTTTTGTATCCTTTGACATGTTTCAATATTGAATTTTCTTCTCTCTGCCACATTTTCACCTGGGTACTCTTTCCTTGCTGACTGCATTTTTAGCTCGCTTCCTCTGTTATAATTAGACGCCGTTCACATGAATGTACTGAAATTGCTTGGACTTCCAAACTTTGATAACTTTGTCATAAGACAATTTTGTTTATTTCCTTGACAAATCTAACAGATTTTGTTAACCTGCCTCGGTCCCATTCTCTAGATACATTCCACAAAATGGTGGTTGAGAATGGAGGAAAGTTCTCAATGAACTTAAACAATTCAGTGACTCATTGCATTGCAGCGGAAAGCAGTGGTATGTCACTTTGTTACTCTTGCATATTGATTTCTTACCCAACCTTTTCCTCATATGGTTACATTTTAAATCTATTTCTATCAAAGAGCATAACAATGAGATACTTTTTCAGGAATAAAGTATCAGGCAGCAAAGCGTCAGCGAGATGTCATCCACTTTTCATGGGTCTTAGATTGTTGTTCACGAAATAATCTGCTTCCTTTGCAGCCAAAGTGAGTCCTAGCAGCATTTTCTTATGGTGTTTGTGCTATAGGTTTCTTGCTCTTTTGATGTCTCGTCTAATGAAAAAGCTCCCACTTCTCGAAGGTACTTCCTCCATCTCACTGATGCTTCAAGGACAAAATTACAGGATGAAATTGATGAATTTTCCGATTCTTATTTCTGGGATTTAGACCTTGAAGGTCTCAGACAGGTATTTATGTTCAGATAGCCATCTTGAAAATATTGTATTACTTATTAAAATCACACTATCGAGTTTCAATCCCATTTTGGTCGTTTCCAGGTCTTAAGCAATGCCAAGCAATTCGAAGACTCAAAATCCATTGAATACTACAAGAAAAAGTTATGTCCAGAGAAAAGATGGTCCTGCCTCTTCGGCTGCTGCATTTACTTTTACGCGTATAGTCAAGCATTGTAAGGCCTCTCTTGTTTTATTCGTATGTTAATTAAACATGTCACTTACCTAAAAGCAATGCTCTTCATCACCATCCTCAATATGTCATTTTTTACTTGAAGAAGCACTGAAGAGGAAACTCTGTTGGGAATTATGGCTAAGAGATTAGCGCTTGAAGTCTTAATGGGCGGTGGTAAAGTCAGTAATAATCTTGCACATGCGTCGCACCTTGTAGTCCTTGCAGAAGACTCTTTGGATTTTACTACAGTTTCGAAAAGGTACTCCAAAATTTATCTGTTTCTGCGATGGGGTTTAGCACCACGTTATAGTGAGGATTAAGACTATTTTCTGGTCTCTCTTCGATAGTTTCAGTGAAACGGAGAAACGTCATCTGTTGAAGAGAAGGCTGCATGTTGTTAGCTCGCAATGGTTAGAGGACAGCTTGCAAAGAGAGCAAAAACTATGCGAGGACGTCTACTCTCTGAGGCCTAAAGATATGGAAGAGTCTGATACTGAAGAATCAGAGTGAGTCAAACGCTTTCTCAATGAGTTCTTATCTGCAAATAAAATATAATCTTATCTCTCATCTAAAAAGCTTCCAATGATTATCTCTCTTTGCTTCAGTAAATGCGAACATGATACAACGGAAGTAGCTTCCTGTGGTGGTGCTCAAATCGAAGAGCCAGTTTCCTCGCAAATGGCAATCACGAGTTCAAGAGGACGGTCAAATACTCGAGCTGTTAATAAAAGGGGAAGGTCTTCTACAAGCTCACTGAAACGAGTACAGAGACGCAGAGGCAAGCAGCCATCTAAGATAGGCGGAGATGAAACAGAGGAGAGTGATGCATCTGATGAAAAGGTGTCAACAAGACTCAGTGATATAGCAGAAGAGACCGATTCGTTAGGTGAGGCCCAAAGAAACTCTAAGAGAGGAACATCTGCAAAGAGAGGAAAGTCTCGTGTGGGACAAACCCAAAGAGTGCAGAGATCACGAAGAGGCAAGAAGCCTTCAAAGATAGGAGGAGATGAGTCTGAGGAAAATGATGATTTTGACGACAAGAAAAATGAGTATGCAGACGCGGAAGAGAGTAATGCAGCTGGTAGATTAGTGGAAGACAACGAAGAAACCCGAGACTCTGACATAGCAAAGTACAAAGAATCACTGCAAAGAGACAACACAGTAGCAGCTGGAGAGGCCTCACAAGATTCTAGAAATGCATATACAGAGATGGATACGATAGAGAAGCAACAAATCCATGAGGATCCAGTACAAGCTATGTTGATGGACATGATCCCAAGCCTCGGTCTGAAAAAGACAGAGACATCAAACCGAATCACTGAGGAAAGCAGATTGGCTAAAGTTTCTGGTGAATGCGAGTCTTCGGAGAAAAGAAAACTCGGCGCTGAGACTGATAATACTTCTGTGAACGCAGAGGCAGAGGCGGAGGCAGACGCAGTGCCTCCTCCTGTGAAGAAGAAGAAAGTTAGCTACCGTGATGTTGCGGGAGAACTGCTCAAAGACTGGTAAAACGCTGCCGTTTCAAACCAAGTACCGAGTCTCTCGTCTCCTTTAGAATGTATATGCTGTGTAACTCTAAAGTCCTCTTTCTTGTCCGTCTTTTGTTGTGACCGTAATTGATTTCCTCTTTCTTATTAATCGTATTCAATTTCAGTCTTTTTTTGTTTGCGCTTTTTACTCATTCTACATGTGAATACACACGTAGTTATGACTGCGTGGTGGACTACTTTTTACTAAAAGCATGAGTAGGAAAATCAGTATTTACAGGGTCCAAACAATGGGGTCCCCCGAACAATGATTACGATTTATTATAGACAATATATAAACCGCAAAAGAAAGTCTTCGTGATGGAGAAACACAACGAAGGGAGAGAAGAGATTGAAAAGAGGGACACAAATATTCAATGTAAAGAGAGAAGCCAAAAACAATAAGCAAAAAAATTATCAGTAGAGAGAGTCGGTGCTCAAAGAGGGGCTTTGAGTTTCATTGTAAGCTCCTATTCCTGTTTCTATTTTTAACCTCAACACCTCTTGTTCTTCTTCATCCGCCTGTTAAAAATGCAAACATAAATCATTAAGAAACCCTGCCTTTTGATTTTTTAGCTTTTTATATTTTGACTCGAAAATAAAAAGGCTTATACTATTATTACAAATGGAAAAATTCAAAGGAAGACAATGAGCCAACGAGGAGACAGGTCCCACTAAAGAAAAAGTGCTATCTTAACAATGGCGAATCGGCGATCATAATCTTATCTCTAAGATTCAATAATTATTGACTCTTTATTTAATAGAATCAGCTATACTTTATTATCATCCGGACAATAAAAGATGTATCTGGCATAATTAGCGAGTATATTTTATCAATTTATAGCCCCCATTGTTATTTAATTCGAGCAGTTGAACAATATTCATATCAAAGCAATCAGATTCTGCTTACCACAGATATAATCTTTTAATAGCCAAATGGACCAAACTCCAATGAATGTGGGACCAACAATAAAAAAACACTAAGACAAAACCCAATAAATGTTTGGTCGAGACTGGAAACTTCCGATATGGCACCATTTACGTTACCATTAGAAAATAGGAACTATTAAACAACCACTAGAGAAGAAAGCCGAAACATTTTAAAATTAATCAAGTTTTAGTAGTTTATATAAATGGTCAAACAAAATATTATAGATCTTTTTTTTCTTTTACAATTGACGCTTAGTGGAATTATGAATATATCATTTAGTTTAAAATATCATGCAATTTTCTTGATGACCAAAATTACAAAACAAGCCACCAAAAAAAATGTATTGACTAAAATACCTGACGACAAAACCCAAAATATAGACTCAGCCCAATACTTTCTCCTAATTTAATCATTACTTTACTCTATAAAATCTTGCTTTAAATCAACCAGAAAGGTCCATGTCGTCTAAATCATTATCAAATTAAGAAATCTTGCATTTTGGAAAAGATTTATATTTTTTTTTCAAGGTACACAAATAAAGTTATACTAGAATGGCTCATTGCCAGCGTCAAGAATAAGACATTTAGTGTTATAATAATTTGGCACGAGCAAAGACTTAAAATCACAGAAAATCCTAATTAATACCCCCATGAAATCAGATGACATCTAAGAAAATTACAAAAGCTACGAAAACTTGCAAAAACAAAAAACCAACTTCCACTTTGTTAAGTTTTAAGAAATATTATAGGAAAAGTTCCACAAAAAAACATACTTTAGGAATGTATAAATGAGACTTTAGGAAAAGTTAATTAAAGTAATTATAACCATATATTTGAGTGCTTCCTTTCACTTTTGCTTGAAAAGTTTACTATCCACTTCTTGACTAATTTCAATCATTACTTCTAATTAGCAGTAGTAACTAGTATTTCCGAATTGGAGAGAGAAAAAGAAAGAGAAAGATGCTGACCTCAATAAAGAGAGTGTTGAAGATCATGCCAGAGAAAGAGCTAAGACTGGAAGTGAGGATTTTAAGATTCAACGACTCAAAGACTTCACACAGTTTCACCATCGTCTCTGTCCTCTTGTTACATGTTACATTCACCACCATTGTCCTCTCTCCCATGAATGTTACCTTCAACTTCAATCACCAAAAACCAACAATATTTCAATGAAATTTTTCTTTCTATAATTTACGATCCAAGGTGAAAGTAGGACCCGCGAGACTTACATCGAGAACTTCGATAAGAGAACGGGAAGAACCAGAATCAAGCTGCTTCATCTTCTTGGATGTGACGGGAACCAGTAGATCACGATCAAAATCTTTACTGAAACTCAGGCTACTTTTTGGTGTAGATTCAAGTTCTCTGATCTCAGCTTCGAGTTTCGTTTCTTCATACTGTAACCCTTCTATGTAACTAATAGCATCTTTGATTATTGATGCTTTATCCATCTATCAGGAAGAACAAAAAAAAAACAGAATCCATGATAAGCTTAGATCTTGGAATTTGAAGAGAAAAAGAGTTTTCTAGTTTCGCAGATGTGATTTTAAAAAAAAAGAAACCTTAGTGATATTGGGAACAACTGATCGAAGAGCGAAGAGTCTCTGGTTAAGTTTCTGTCTTCTGTTTCTCTCCGACACAATATTCTTCGAAGCCGGCGACGAAGCCGCCCCGTCAGGCGAACTCGAATCATAAGACCCAGAAATGGCTTCCTCCAAAGGCCAGCTTTTAGAAGAAAAAAACAAGTATCAAAATCTCAAGTATTTCCCAGAAAAGTAAGCGAGAAAAAGAGAGAAAGAACAAAAAGAAGAAAGAACCTGTCGTATTCAAAGTCTTCGTTTTGCAGGAAGGAGCTGGGTTCCCAGTAATTGTTAAATTCTTGGTCGATATGCTCCATTTTCCGACAAATTTCTAATCAAACTTGTTTGATGGTTTAAGTGGCGTTTCTTGTCTCTCTCGCGACCTGTGAGCTTTATATATAGAGAAGGGGAATGAGAATGGGAATAAGACAGACCAAAGTCTCGGGAGACAACAACGTAGATTTCCAGTTAATACACACACGGCGTTGTATCTTACCGAAAGAAAAATGATGTCAATTATGAATTATTAGTACATAGTAACTAGCCAATAAAAAAAATCTAGATATTTTCCAACTAAAATAAATAAAAAGAAATAAAGACCACCATTATTTTCTATATTAGGATGATATTCGACACGAGGGCTTATATAGTCAAAATATTCTGGTACCTGTTGTCATTAACTTATACAGTGTGGGCACTAAAGAAATTTTTTCCCTTAAAAAATATTAAATAATCAAATTAAAAAATTATGACCAAAAGAAAAAGAAAAACAATAGTGCAGAAACATAAAACATTTTAAGACAGGCTAGCCAACAAAATGACAAAAAAAAATATTGGTGAAACAAACAAATAGCAAAGAGGAAGGAAAGAAAAAAAAAAGAAATGATTTGACAATCAAAATATTTGTAACTAGACTAAACCCAACAGATCGAATCATATGATCTTAATTACCTAATTAAAACCCCAAATGTTTTTCTTTAAATATCTAAGTACATGTGTTCATAATTAACAAACTGGATATAATAGTCAAAGAGATCACACCGAAACAACAACGAAAGAGCCATAATCACAAAGTTCGGTGTTTCATTTCACATATGTTTCGACAGTACTGGTCCTAACGAAAGATGATATAACTACTATCACATCTGAAAAACGTTTTTAAGGACAATAGACCCCGTCTAAACCCAAGCCTAAAGGCAAAGACTCAGAATTTTTCTCACAGAAAACATCAAAAGATGGGCAATCATAAAAGAACGAAATTAATTACCTTATTTGCCTTTGTCCCTTAGTCACTTCAGAAATGTATAGGAAGCTTCCCATAAGATTTGTTCATCTATCTTTCTCAAGTCTTCGTCGTCGAGTCGTTTCCACGTCCTGATACGTTCAACTCCTGTCCATGTGTCTTTTCCTTTCCCGAGCTTAGCCTCTATCACTCTTGCTCTTCTGTGCCAATTTGGTCTTCCATAAGCATGGTATCCAAATCCTCCGCCGTAGCAAAACCACACCCCTTTTAGATTTCCACAGAAATCATTGGTATGGTCGTGTCCTATGAACGCGGCTTTTACATTTCCCATGGACACAAAGGTCTTTAGGACTCCTGATTGAACGATGGAGCATGCCACACCCTCCTGAAACTGCCCAATGAAGGGTGTGTACCACAGATCACGGACTTCCGAGATTGGGATGTGGAAAAACGCTACCGCTGGAGGATTACTGAGAAAGTTTCCTTTATGACCCTATTTAGACAGTGAGTATTTTTTTTAGCGGTTAATGAATCTTGACCAATGTGTAATCATATTCACATACATGTAATAAGAAATGCTTAAATCTCTTTACCTGCTTGGAAGTATCCTGAAGCCAACGAAGTTGAGAATCCTTGATCCATCCATATGTTCGTCTACCTTCAACTGTTTCTCTGTCTCCACTGTCAAGAAAAAAGAGGTCAAAGATAGAGCTATTTGACAGCACCGAACCAGGTGCACCGTGTACTCTGAGGCGGTAATTCCCGAATCCATCAATTGATCTCAACGAGCCTCGTTCGGCTTGATCCGAGCCATCTTCGGCTGGTGGATTGATTTGAGAAACAGAAAAATCCATGAGCGAGAGGAAAGTCATCAGTTCTTCACGGTTCATTGTGGATTCCTGGTCATGGTTTCCTAAAACGGCAGCCCATGGGATTCCATATTCAATGGCTGGACCAATGGCTTCAAGAAGAGACTCCGCTGCATCAGTAGTGCTTGCTCCAAATATAGTATCCCCTAATCATCAACAACATAATCAAACAAGACTTTAGTGAATTTGGCTGTACCTTTCCTTGACACATTATCCCTTAAAAGTGTCACAACAGTTGAAGAAATAATTAATTTTGGTGAAAAGGTTCTCAACGAATTAAATGTGTTTGCTCATTCAAGTTTCATCATCAGTAAAAACCCAGAAGCATTTCCATCCATCAGTCATAGCCCACAAC